ATTGATTTCAAATGTTGATCATATTTTAATTTTTTTTTTACCATTAGGTTAGGATAAACAATTTTTATTTTTTCCATGCCCAGTTAATTATTTGTCTTTTAAATTGATGAGAGATGAAATATAAGCTATTATCACGCAGAGCTTTAACGCCAGAAATCGATAAACATACCGGTTCTTAGTAATGCAATTGACATGAGCAAACATTTATATTTTATTGTACTTTTATAAACGGGTAGCGCTTATCGATATACGAAATACGGCCTTTAAAAATAAGTACATTTTTTTTCTAATCACCATTAAACCTTAAACAGATGTAATTTATTAAAAATCAAATAATATAAAAAAAAAACGTTTTAACAAAAAATGTTGTCCAATTGAATAAATCTGTTGATAAAATAAAAAATTGGAGTTCCCGTTTGAAAATTAAGAGTTGATAAAAGTTTTGGTATAAGGGATGATAGAAAAAAATTAATTTTTCATGAAAAATCGCTCAACAAAGAACTATTATTGTCAAAAAAAAAAAAAATGATTAAATAATTGAAATAATTATGATTAAAATAATGATAGTTCTAATATTTTTATCCAATATAATAATATCAAGTATTTATACATGTGAACAAATTTTTATAGGGTAGTTTTTAGGAGGACATTTAAAGGTTAAAAGGAATCTCAGAATTATTTTCATATAATTTAATGAAAAATGAGGAAAAATAGTTTTACTGATCAAGTATCAATTTCTAAATGAGCCAACCGTTTATAATATTATATATTTTAAAAATTATTTTTTTAATTTTTGTTTTCCTTCAAGAATTATCTTATAATTAGAGAAAAATTTTGGAAATGAAACCTATTTTCAATAGGAGAATCAAAAACTATATGTTTTAATTTTTTGAAGATCGAAGTAGTATTTCTTTATGCACTACTTTTATTTTGAAGCACAGTTAATATTCTATAATAACAGAATTTTTCGGTACATCATTAGATATTACAATGATTAGTAAAAAAATATTTGTTGAAAATAGGTTAGACAAATTTTGTTGCCGCCACCACTTATCGTTTTATTACATAATGTTTTTATTATAATAACAAGTCTAGTTACCGAACACCCCCAAATTCAGGGAATTCTATCGTAATCACTTGACATTTCACCTCTCTAGAATCAAAGATGAATGGTTTTGTTAATTTGTAGTGCATGAACTTTGGTAAAATTTAAAACATTCATTGACATTTAAATATGCTATAAGCGATCAAAATTCCGTTAATTTGCAGGGCATTCTCTTTTTTTTTTATCTTACATTTAATATATTAGGTTCATTTTATTTCACTATGAGCAGTGGTACTTAAAAGGGTATATGCGGATATACGTACGGCCTATACCCACTAATAATTAATTAATTAACCTTAGAAAAATAATACTAATATGCTATTTATATAAAATCACAAAATTTGCGTATCCCTAAAATAAAAATAAAAAGGTTTTTGGAATAACATTACTTGCTACAGTATTGGACATATGAGTAGCCGGAATTATTAACTTTATGTATAAATATTAGAAGTCAAGTCGTAATAATAAATCTATTATATAATTTTGAATTTTAATAATTTATTAACTGTTAGCAATAAATAGACGAGTTGCCTTACACCTTTGTAATTTTTCATAATTCAGTTCCTTCATACAACATTCATAAGTCAATTTGATCGTATAAAAACTTTTACTTCATAATTAGTTAAATGACTGGATAACTAAGACCATACGTAAACATTATCGCATTATAGTACGTTATACAGAGTGTTCAGTAAGTCAGGAAACGGGTATCTATTGTTCTCATTGTTACAAACAATAGAGTTAAACATAAAANGTTCAGTAAGTCAGGAAACGGGTATCTATTGTTCTCATTGTTACAAACAATGAGAACAATAGATACCCGTTTCCTGACTTACTGAACACCCTGTATAAATAACATACGTGATGTTCTTTACAGGATTTTACTGTTTCCCATATATTTTCTTATTTTGACAGTCAATTAATTATTGTTATTTATTCCAAAACAGTCTTTTTTTACATTTTTTTTTTGCCTATTCTAAAAAAAAGAGTCCGGTTTTTTTATTTTTTAAATATGGTCACCCTACTGTCGCGGTCGCATCGCATTTCCGGTGTTACCGTCGGATGGCGATCGCGGTGGCCGACGGGCGGTGCGAACCGGTCGCTCGGGCGCTGGACAAAAACATAGACTGATAATTCATTTATCGTTTTTTAATCTGACACGTCGACCTTTAATAAGGAACGGAAGATATCTTTTATTAATTTACTTAACTGTGTAATTAGGATTATTGTTTCGCTGTGTAATAAAAACGCTATTTCTTTATTACTTATTATTATTATTATATTTACTATCCTGTTTCCAACACTACATTAAGTGCTAAAAAACAGTATACTCGAAACCCTATTTTTTTTTCTATTTCTACGGTCCATTTATTGTTGGCCGCCCGGGAACTACCTTGAGGTATTACTTCAGGGCGGCCAACGTAGCAATATAACTAACACCATCACGTTGTGAATCAGCCCGAAATTAATCAAGAGCTGATTCACAACGTGGTGTGGCTTTTCCTGTTATCCCGAAGTGAGGTCCGTTGTCCGGGTTGCAACACGTGAAAGTGGGGGCAGGACTTTGCAAGAGTCGGCAGAATAACTCACGAAACAAAAAACACAAAGCTAAGAAGCCGCTTTTATTTAGCGCCTTAGGTCCTCCTGTACTGGGCGGCGTTGCTGCCTTTGTCTCAGGCATTCCGCTTCCTCCTTCTTTTTCAAGACGGATTCAGCGAACGACTGGACGAGTTTCTACGCCTCCCGGCTCCACAACATCAGGTCCACCATGGACCTAACTTGGAACGTGGACCCAAGTCGGGACTCCACACTCGAAACCCAGCATAATTAAAAACATATTAATTTAAATCTAAGAGTTATAAAAATCACAGTCATAAAACGTTACGTTCAAAATTTTAAAACAAAAGACAGGCGTGATTGCAAAATTAAAAATTAAAAAATATTTCCAAATTCATTTTTCCGTATTCAAATCCCCTTATAGTTGGGTTTTTTTGTTAGATTTTGAAAAATAGTGTAACGATAGATAGATGAGGTTTGGAATGAGAGTAAAATTTACGAACTAATTTCACACCAAATGAAATTGTGGCCGAGTCGGTAACGCAGAAGAAATGCATGACGCGCCCTGTAAACAAATCTCTAAGTAAATCATGTAACCCTTTACTAAAATTAAATAATAATTAAAAAATATATTTTTTGAAAAATTTAAAAATAATTTTAGTATTTAATGTGTATATATAAGTATAAAACCTATTATATAATTATAATTATATAATAATAATAATACCACAATTTTATAAATAAAAAGAATTTATTTGTTATCAGTTCAGTAAAAATGATAACATTACAAACAAAGAAATGGCTACTATTTTGTGTTTATTTTAAGAAGTGTACAAGGCCTGAAAAAAGTTTATAACGTAAAAACTTGACGGGATAAAAAATACTATCAGACCAAAATTATTTATAATTATTTTTTCGATATCAACAAACTAAAAATAGGAGTTCCCATAAAGGAATATTAATGTTGAAAAGAAAAATTATTTAACTCATATTATTGTAGTTTTTTGAACCAAATTATGTTTTCCTTTACGAAAATTTTAATTGTTTTCAAGAAAATGGATGTCTTATTCTTAATTGTTATTTTGATAAAATGAAAATAACAACTCATCATAAAATATAATACTAAGAGATATTGTAATACACAAAAATAGAGTTATAAAAAAAAACCCAGCACAGTGGTGTCGCGGCACAGTGGTCTCGTGGTATAGTTGGATCATGTATAATGATATCTGACAGTGATTAAGATCACTATCAATAAAAACGCTTCGATGCAAATCTTTAGATAGTGTATATTATTGGTGGATTATTCCAAAAACTACATGATCTGCTGTTTCCTTATTAGTATCCTAAATGAAAAAGGGATTATTAAAAAATATTACTTCTCATTGTGAATTGTGTTGATCCATACACTTTTCAATAAGTTATAGCATTGACTATGTAAAAAATAAAATCAACAATTTAAACACAAAAATAGCATTCGGTAGCCATTATCACCACGAAGACAAGCCCAGAAGTCAAATTTTTTTTTTCCATAATAAAGTATATTATATTTCCTTTAATTTAAAATATATATAAAAGTGTCAGACTTTCCGGAACATTTTCAAAAGTTAAGTTGAAAAAGTTAATTTTTTGTGAAAAAATTATAATTTTAAATCCCCCCTATTGGGCAGATAAAGGGTTAGATTTATAAAAAATATACCAAATGATAGGTAAAGACATCAAGCATCTATAAAAAAAAAAAATTATATTAATATGTTCATTTTTGAAAAAGTTACGGCAGTTTTTAGTAAAAAAAATTTCGAAAATTAGCGATTTTTAAATTTGTAATTTTTTTGGAGGTTTCCCCCGTTTTCGGGGAACAAGGGAATTTTTTTCAATTTTTGAGGTTAATGTCTTCGACTAGATACGATTTGTGATCTTTTGACGTATCGTTGAAAGGAGTCACAGAAAAAGTGGTAACAGACACAAAAAAAAAGAAAAAAACACATCATAGTAAAACTTATACTTTATCAGCTTCGGATCGACGCTAAAATTGAAAAACATTTTAATGATAAATTGTACGTTTTGTTAAATTATTGTCTGTTTTTTATTAATAACAATTGATATTTTTATATTACACTTTATTTTATTTAATAATGAATAAATAAAATTAACCTGTCACAATATGTGAATAAATTTTTTAATGCGCTTTTTTTTAGAAAACATGTAAAATAAATTTGATTAATATAAATATTATTTGAAGTTTTTACATACTAAATATATTTTTCGTTTTACCATATTTTAGATTATTCAAAATAGATTGAATTGACTATATAAATGAAATTAATTTTATAATAAAAATTATAATATACCTTTAGTTGTTACAATTGAAATTATATTGTTAGTACAAGACATTCATTACTGTTGCAATTATAATCAACATTAAAATGAGTTTCTATGTTTTTTGTTGTGGAATATTATGTTTGATGTGTGTAAAAATTGCGTCCAGCAATAACAAAGTAATTATAATTGCTATCATTATATTATACCTTAATTATTATTATTTAGTGGCTTAGGTACCTTTTTTTATACCATGATAATTATTGATCATCTATTTTAGCTTCGATGCGAAGCTGAGAAGGTATTAATTTTACTATGATGTGTTTTTTTATTTTTTTT